CACGCCACCAGTAATATGATGAACAGCGAGCACCGCGCACAGCCGCGGTCCGTAACAGAGGGCGAGGTGTCGGTAAGGTCGACGCAACGTCATTGAACGCTTAACGCCAAAGGAATGCATCAAGGCAGAACGGACTTCTTACCGACGCATACAGAGGCCATTTGCCGAAGGCATCGCGCGGCACTGCGCCGTGGTGCGCCCAACGAGACCTCTCGATACCGTCCGGACAACGTCTCGGTGCAAGCAATGCGGCAGGAGCACTCGGTCCTTTGGCCGAATGCATCACGCGGCACTGCGCCGTGGTGCGCTCAACGAGACCTCTCGATACAGTCCGGAGAACGTCTTGATGCATGCAATGCGCCAGGGGCACTGTCGTTTAGCCGAACATGATACGTAGCACCACGCGGTAACAGCGCGAGAAGAGATTTTTCCTGGAATATGTATCTACACGAATTCCAAAATTTATTATTTCAGTCGCCGTATGCTCTGGCACAATAATTTCGTTATTTGGCGTAGGTCAGATTGATTCATTTTTGCCGTGATTGATTTCTTCCATTTAACCCCGTGCTAAACCGCCTATCTCCTCGACCGCTCCTTGGCTCCCGTCGTACTAATAAGAGGGAACAGTCCGAGTTGACGACGGTCGGCCTTTCAGCCGGAGCGCGCTTTTGCAAGGATTTATTCTGCGTATTAGCCGTCTCCAATGGTTGTTTCTGGTCGTACCAATTGATATTGTTCTCTCGTGCTCTGTTAGTCCCTCCGAAACTCGTGTCTTCACAGCATTACCGCGGTACGGTGTCTCCGACCGAATGTACCTTATGCGGTGACTCGCCATTCGGCGTAAACACTATGGTGTAATCGGTTAGCAGCGCAATCTTTAAAGTGCGCTGCGCTCATGACTGAGCGTAAACTCACTCGATTCCGAGCGAGAATGCATTGAAATTTACGTCAACCGTTTTCCCCTTATGCGACCATTGGCAAGTTAATAAGTCTTTGGCGTTTAACGTTGGGTACGGTGAGAATGTTTGAAAAACCCCTTAGAACCGGGGATACGCACGGTGGCAAAGTCGAGCCGTTGCTATCCCATCGGGGGAGTCTTTAAGAACATGGGCTCTCCTTTCGAAAGATGTCGACTATTATATATAATAACTCGAAATCGCCAAGCGTTTGACCGTCCGAGATACCTTGAGAAAAGTGTATTACCGGTACGGCACTCGTACGCGACGAGAAAGAAAAATTATGGGAAAGATTGGGAGCAAGCCGGCTCATGCGATTTTATAAAGGAGATTTGATAGCAAAAGAGTGGAGAGAGAACACTCAATTTTGTAAGGTTTTAAGGGCGGCCTCTGAGTGTTCCTCCTGGCGTGTCTTCGACACGAATGAAGGAAAAGCCGTATATAAAATAATAAAAATACTCTGATGCACTTGGGTTTGCCACTCTATTCTCTTGCGACGGCGAACACTCAATTCTCCGTCTCTCTGAAGCATAATACGCGCCGTTCTCTGTAGCGTACGCAACGTTGAGCCTCTTCGGCGACGGGTTAGGGGTCAGTCTCTAATCTCCCCTTGAGACGGTGGATAACCAAGAAGTCCCGCAGAAAGAGAGCTATCTCGTTGTAAAGTGTACATAAAAACTTTTAAACGCGAAGCTCCCTGGTTGATCCTGCCAGTAGTCATATGCTTGTCTCAAAGATTAAGCCATGCATGTCTCAGGGCAAGCCAAATTAAGGTGAAACCGCGAATGGCACATTAAATCAGTTATGGTTCCTTAGATCGTACCCACACTTACTTGGATAACTGTGGTAATTCTAGAGCTAATA